TTTTTTTCATCTATGGACCCAGCTGGAATGCGCAGCACAAACCGACCGACTCCGGAGAATCCTGTGGTTTTCTTCTTTCCAGGATGTCAAGTCGCGGCGGAATCGCGTTTACAGTGAGATAAAGGAATGCTTCCAATTAGTAATCGATGTTTATGAGCTTCTTACCGGACACGGATTTTTACCCGATACCGCGCAATCATAATGCCACTACCGCGGCTCGTGTGCCGGCATTTTGCTTGGTTAATTGGATTGGCATTATCGCGATAATCGTAATAATTGTAGTAATAATTATATTAATAGCGTTTAATTGGGTGTACTGGGTTCATTAACAGTCGTAACAAATTATAAAATCGAAAATATTATATGTATGTATCGATGGAAAATGGAAAATATGGGAATGTTAATTGGATACATGTTAATATATTTTTGTATAATCTTTGTTATGCAATATTTATGTTTCTAAATATTAGTGAATTTCAATGAATGTTGAGCTTACTTTGAGTGACTATATTGAAAAATTATGATGGAAGTTGTTCTTTGTTTCAAAATCTGTTCTAGGAAACTTAATGAAATGGAAAAGTATTGGAATTATCAAAAAATTCTCCCAGTCACAATTAAGGGAAAAAACTAGATATAATATTTAGAAATGTCGTTAATTGGGACACGATATGTATTTTTAATAATATAAAAAATATTATAATAATAATATAATATTAAAATAATATAATATTAATGTAAAAACAATGTTTACAGGTACACACAAAACTGGTTTCATATTGTTAAATATATGAAAAGTGTAACAGATTAACAAGCTACTTTGTAAAATAATCTGTCCTATCGATCAATCTTAAAAGCAATAGATATTCTATAAAATTCTTTTTAAAGTGCTTGTTATTAGAATAACTGGAACCCTGAATACATTACCTTCTAGATGAGATTAATTTACTGTTCAAAAATTATTTCATAATAACGAGGAAACATTTTTACTCTGACGAAGAGGTCATTTATCAGTGAGAACAAATGATGAATACGTGACTCTCAGCTAAGAGTAGTATATTATTGTATCATTGATAGCATATAAATAACATTTTTATAATTAATATAAACTGCTATTTTATACCTATGTATTATATTAAATGTGTGCACGTTGTAAAAAAGTAAACAAAAAATCGGATGAAAATTGAAAATTAAACTAAGAATTATCCACAAATTTCCTATATAAGACACGTACTAGTATGTACGTTGAAAAATTATCGAACATAATTATTTAATTGTTTTTGAAATTCAATTTTCAACACTTTAGTGTTTCACACATACAAATTTTAATATTATGTAATGTCTTTGTATCTGTATGACCTGTAGTATACTGTCTTTGAAAATTGTTTCATGGAATGTTAGAAACCTGCTTTATTCTTGCTACAGAAGTATGTAGCTATTTCCACCACTTTGTTCGCTATATATAGAACCTCAGTTCCAATAATGTTAAACGTATAATCACAGTTAACACATATTTGAGAAAAAAATTTAGAATTCATTTCCTTTATTATAGTACACGCAATGATTATATTGCACATTTTATGACTTTAAAGAAACTAGCAACTTGGAAAATATATCGAAACAAAAATGTTAATAAAGACTAAGTTCATAAAATGTCTAAATATTTTCAACTAAAAGCCATTTATTACGAAAATAAATCCATCTTTAATCCCGATTCTATCAGATACAAAAATTAATTCGATGATCTTTCCACTTTAAATCTAAATTATTCCCACCATTTAAAAATTTCCCACTTTTTCCTAAAAACCAGAAAAAGATCGGAAGCAATGATAAATATTACGAGAAATAACAAACGCACGATTTTTCGTAAGTAAACGATAAATTATTTTTAAAAAAAGCGCTGAATTAATTCCTACACTTAATGCAAAACAGCTGACAGGAATGAACGTTCCCTTTCCTCCCGTTTCTTGCTACCACCGCATTAGTATAGGAGAATATTCATTGATCCTTCGAAAGGAAAGTTGCTAATGCAACTGACTCAATTCAAGTTTACCGGGAGATCGGTGTATAAGGTAGAATTCACTACCGTTCGAATAATTACCAGCCGCGCCATGTACTTTCAACCCGGGAAGAAGAAGAAAAGATTTATCTACGGTAGATTGTGCTGACCGGTTGTTCAAGCAGCGGGGTGCATTTATAAATAATGCAACCAAGATGAAGAAAGCACGTAGCCCCGGTTAATAAACGTCAAACGCAGCTACTGGGGTAACCGGTGGTAAGAGCAAGTCCGGCGCGTACATTAGCCCGCATAATTTTAGCACGTTGCAACCGCTTGAACGGAACTCTTTCAGAGTTACGTCACAGTACATCGTGGGTTGAAGATGACACCGTTTCGTTACATAACGCCCTTCGAGACCACTGTCTTTCCTTTATCCGCGAAGTTATTTTCGTCGAATAAATTTCACGCTTCCCGACCGCGACTCCTTTCCGCCCCACACTTATTAACTATTTCTGCCTGGGACGATCATTGAACTATTGCCGATGATTCACTTTACTTGGATACATTAACACTAGAACTACCGCACCTGTCAAGAGGGCGGGTTTCGGTTCTTTTTTATTTCCCAATGATTCATATATTAAAAGTGTTATATAAAAATAGAAGTGTTAAATAAATAGTTTCATTTGAATGCTATAATGAGAATACTATATATGAAGACACCAACAAAAATCTGTTGTCACAATTTTTATAAGGATTATGTATCAATCATATTAAATACATTCGTGATGGCATATCATTTTTGGAATTCTATAGATGTGATATGCTGTCTATAGCTGAAATTCTATTCAAATGTGTATGAATATAGAAGATTCTATAAGAGAACTATATTGTCAATACTTATTGTTAGCTACAAATTGTGAAGTGACGTAAGATGAAGTGATCAGATTTTATTTTGAAAATATAAAATGTCGTAGGACCACGTTACTGGTATTTTTGGAAAGAAATTAAAAATAATGTAGGATTACGTTACCAAATATGTTAATACTGCGATTAAATTTTGGGACCCTAATTCGACTATGCTATACTTTATTAAGGATAAAAAGGTAAAAGTAGATATAGGAATCAAAGTTCAAATAGATGGAATAGATAAAAATCAAAAATCAAATAGATCTAAAATTTAAAGTAACATTTTAAATATATAAAATCTAAATGATCCATTCATTAAAACTAGTTAGTGTACCATTATAATAAATACAGTTACTTGTTTTAATATTCAGATACTACGGTTTTTGCGAAATTAAAGCTTTACGTACTTACTTGAAATGTGGTTATCGAATTTTCTGGTTCGTAAGTAGTTAAAGCACATATTCTAGTTTACAAATATGTAAAATTAATTACTTTATTTTTTATTATTTTCCACATAATAAATCTTAAACGAAATGAGAACCAATATTGATGTTGAATAAATATTCAGACACTTAACATTACATAAGGTTTTTGATATTTAGAAATACATAAGAACAAAATTATAATAATTTTAATATTTAATTCGTAGGATATCCCTTTTATCTAATAACATGTTACAAACGTGTCGGCATATTTGAAATTATTTTACTTAAATAATTTTGAGTAATGCGTCACCACTCTTCCGTCAGTCGTATTTTGAAATCTTCTTTTCTTTTTATAAGTGTTATCCTAATATTACGATCCAATAAGTCCCACAAATTCTCAATTGGATTTAAACCCTGTGACTGTGGTGGAGGATGTAACACTTTCGGACAATAAAATAAATATTCCAGGACTATTCTCGATTTGTGTTTCGAATCGTTGTCCCGGTAGAACTTAAAACTGTCGCTTATACCCATATTCGTTGGACTTTTTAATAAGTTTTGCTTTAATAAGTCTAAATATTTCTTCTTGTTCATAATACCTTCAATAAAAACTAACTTGCCTACTCTAGCAGTTGAAATACAGCCCCATACCATCAAGCCTACGCCACCGTGTTTCACCGTCGGTATCATATTATTTATTCTTAATTGTTCATTTGGTTTACGCCACACTAATTTTCGTTTGCTATACCCAGAAACATGAAATTGACTTTCGTCCGCAAAAATTACATCATTCCACCATGATTGTGTTTTAGAAACAAATACTTTTGCGAATGTTATACGTTTCTTTCGATTGATCTCGTTTATGTATGGCTTTTTACGAGTCACTCTACCATTATAACCAGCATTTTTTAAAACATTGTGAACTGTATCCACGTGCATTCTCTTTCCAGTTTCTGCAGTTGAAGTAGGGGCAATTAATCCTGAATTGATCTTTATTTTTCGAACAAACTGCACGCTTATCACGATTGTCAAGAAGACGTGAACGTCCCTTTTGAGCAGTAGATTCAATGCGATCTGCATGTTTATATCTTCTTATAATATCCGCGACGATACGTTTACTTAAATTTAACAACTTCCCAATTTTCCGGTATGATTTCTATTTTCACAAATGCGTTTAGAAACGATGAAATATCTTATAAAATGTCTAGCAAAAACCAACCAAACTGCCGCACGCTCTTGGGTTTACAAACAATCATAAGGAGTCTACAAACGGACCTTTTAAAGCGAATAAACGGCGAAATATACTAGGTGTCCGAATATTTTTTCGATATTAATATTGGGTCTAATTTCGTTTATGGTTTATTACGTGGAAAACAATAAAAAATAAAATAATTAATTTTACATATTTGTAAACTAGAATATGCGCTTTAACCCGTTACAGACCAGAAAATTCGATAACCGCATTTCAAGTAAGTACATAAAGCTTTAATCTTGCAAAAACCACAGTGTCCAAATATTAAAACGAGTAACTGTATATACTTATTATACAACTCTAAAACTTATGCATTATTAATCGCAATTTATTCAATAAAGCATTTTAAAATAAACTAAACATATATGCAGAAATTGTAGGATGGAAAGGAATTTGCCGGCAGTACCAAAGCGCATGCGCGCATCAGTATATCTTCTGCCTTAAACATGGCGACCGTGGCAAAGTTGTCACGGCAAATACCTCCGTTCTGTCGGCATTTTCGTGGTTTTACACGTTCATACAGCTCGTTTCGTAGTGATTGTGTAGTGAAGGAATGGAAACGAAGCACTGCGCATTTGGTGGCAGCCTCCATCGCCCTTTATGTTGGATACAAATACTTAAAACCCACTGTGGTCCACGCCTCAAAGTCCCGAAGGGTTTGTAAACACCGATTCATGTTTCTCTGTTTCACTAATCTTCTGATATAATTAACACACGAGCATGTATTCATTCGAAATCATTTGTCACCTGTCAATTCTAATAATAACAATGCTGTCACTTCGAATAAATGATCCATGTAAATGATACAAATTCTCTCGCTCATCGAGATTGCTTGTTTTTTGTTCAATCATTCCTGGGTGTCTGGGTCTAATTGACCCTGAATGATCTGAAATTGACGCGGCATAGATTATATCAATGTCTGACTATATCTTTTTTATGATAGCCGCATTGGCCAACACGGTATTGATGTTTCTTGATTGCAGATTATAGGTTAGGAAATCGTTCCACTCGTAATGATATCGATTATTAAATACTGTATTCTTGAACGTTACAACGAAGAAAAAAAGTTTTGTGTAATGCAACTGAATATGTAAAATGAACATTTGTATAAATGACAAGTGTAATAAATATACCTGTAGTAACTATATATTCGAAAATGTGAAATGAATGTATCCGAAATATAAAGTATTAGAGTACGTTCTACTTAATTTAGTCACAGTTTTAAATAAAGTTTTATGTTGTTGTTATTGAATTATAGATTTTTATTTATAAAGGAATTATTATAATAAACGATTTCTTTGTCGTAAAATATGAATTATATCATTAATTTTTTAATGTGTATTTTACTTCGGTAGTTTTGTTAGATAAAAAATAGTTAATATTTAGTTTTCGTTCTTGTCTTTTTTTTACCTTTAGAAGTGTTACTGTACTAAAATTATCGCGCGCAAAGTTTAAGGGACAGCTGATAGTACCACGTGGTTAATTATTATACAGGATGAGTTACCTAATACTAGAATCTAAAAGAATATTAAATGAAAACGTTTCAACAATAAATTATTACTAGATTACGGACGTTTTTTTTTAAATATTATATTATGTTTTTATTACTTTTATTATTCTAAATTACGTACATAATATTATAGACATAGTGAAAACCAAAAAACAATATTCAAATATTCAAAACGTATTTATTGTAGTTTATACCTTCCAGTTTGATAATTAAAAATTATCGTTGTTATAGATAAAAAATATCTTGCGGTTTTTTACCCATAAAAAGTGTAAAACGATTGAAAAATGTGGAATTTATATTTTACTAACTAATCAAAAAGAAACGATATAAAATTCTCAGTTATAATGAAACATTTGAACATGAGATTTCATAGTGAAAATTGTTGTGAAGTATTCACTGATTTATTTATTATTTATGTATAAACGAGAAATTGAAAATTTTAGTTTAAAATTCTTTCGAAATATACAGGGTGTTCCATTTAAATCGATCCACTCAAATATCTTCAGAACTATTGATGATACTAAACAAATATGTCAAACAAAAGTTAAATCTTTACAAAAATTAAAAATATTTTGTAAACTAGTGATATTTTGTTATAAGTAACTTTGTACTTTTGTGTAGAAAATGGCGGGTTCTATCGATTCATGCACTGAAAAATGTCATCTAAAAAAGAAAGTCAGTTGGTGTTAACTATTGAATGCATTTTAATTTTAGTCGCCATTTAATAGTCGAGTAATCATGAACTAATGCAATTTTTTTGCAATAAAACTAGTTTTCTATGCAAATCTTGTTATAACATTTTTAATTTGCCTTTGATATCGCTCACGGCCAGGATGCAAGGTCTTTAATCAGTGATTGATTATTATCCTTGAATCTTAATAAATCAATCGTCGATTTTTCAACAATTAAATTCCTTTAGTCAGTGATCGTTGATTATTGCAGTTACTCGACTAAATCAATCTTCGATTTTTCGACGATTAATTTTATATATACTTTACGATCTCAGATTATTACCATTAATCGATTAAATCAATCACTGATCCCTCGATGTTTAACGCTCAACTCTGCTTTATAGTAAATAGAAGTAACAAAGAAATTTTAAATATGCATACTGGATACTCATGATTTTCTATTTTCAGAACTAATAATCTCTGGGTAAAGCGTATAAATATGAATTGTCCAAACAAACACTTTATTAATAAAATCTAAGTGTATTTAACACTAGATTTACGGAATCGCCAATTTAACGGATATTAAATTTTATAAACATTATTGTGATAAAATTGAAATCGATTTTGATGGATGCAACTATGCTTATACGTATGCCAATTCTCTTTTTTTGAAACTCTAATTTCCAATATTAATATGAAGGAACACCCAGTTTGCTAGGATCCATACAATGCAGTATACTTACGATAACAGTCCGTAAATCTAGTTTTTATTCCTACTTCTATATACTACCCAATTCTCAAGAATCTTAAACTTTTGCACTCAAAATTTCTTTTGAATTTTCATTTCGATAACTGTATATTATTTTCAATGCTGCATTTGAAAGGTACTTTGAAAGACAATTAATTCGTAGAAAGTAACATAAACAAACCTTTTTACTAATAATATTAAAAATAGTATACTGATATAACATATTTCAAAACTATTTTCACATAGAAACACACGTGTGAATAAAACTGATGTTGAGTCACAATCGACATAGAAATACAAACTTTGATATACTTAGGGGCACGCAATTTTAACGAAACAAAAAACTCGACATGCACGATAATAGTATAAGTGTATAACTAATTTCAATTATATAAGTTTGATGGGTTTAAAAATATCCCAGCTTGCATTAACGGTTAAAAAAGAGCAGGACAATTTTAAATCCATTTATTCTCAAAGTGTTAACACTTAACAAGAAAGAGAATATTTGTTAATAACCGACAATATTTCATAAGTTTGCAAAAGAAAAGCTGAACTATGAATTCTATTAGCATGCAATCCTCTCCAGAAAAAAATATATTTTATAAAGAAATTATAATCGTCATAATTAATAGCTTAGAAATGGCTTCGGTGTACGACAAAGTCTGAACAGATATTTTCAGCCGATCAACCGATTAAGTGGTAACGTGTTAACTGTGGAATTTAGTTTCAAAAATCGTTTCGCGTGCAATAAAATCAAAAAATGAAGAGCGTATTTGTCAAACACAAGACGAATGCACCTAAGGTATATTTTAATGAAAAAGTAAAACAAAAAAGAATTACACGTTTCTCTGAAAAAATAAGGAATTCATCGTTGAAAGAATTAGTATCAGTTCCAAGGTTCAAGACGACATGTATACTCGTCAAACGCAGTTAACTGATTAAGATTAACACTAGGTTTACGGAACGCGTTACTTCGACGCGTATCGAATTTTATAAACACTATTTAGTATATGTTTACGTCGACTTTGTTTGATACAGTTGTACCAATACGTACTTCAATTATCTATTTTTAAACGTCTAACTTCTAAAATCCGAATAAACGAACGTGAACTTTTTTAGCAGCTGTACAATAAACCGTAAAATAAATGTCCGTAAGCCTAGTATTAACGGACAACCTGAAACATCGTAAAATACGCTCCCAAATTTGCAAACACAATCCGATCGATACCAGTTTCGCATTATGGAGGAACCGTTCCGTTGTTAACGGCAGCGTTTAACACGTCCAGTCACGTGTCCCGTGTGGATGCCGATTGTCTCTTCGGCACAAGTGCGGATCTTCACTGTCCATTTCCGCGCATTCATAAATCACACGGCAACCAACGTTCGTGGGCACGCCACAAAGTGGCGGCCGTTATCGCGTTCAAGATTCGACTGCGCCGTTTATCCTCGATCCTCGACGCGACCGTTTCCCCGTCACGATACAACGATCGAAGGATACGGTATCTGAAGATAACGCGGGACACGGCTTCGGGGATACGGAAAAACGACGTTACGGATTGTGGTATTCATCCTTTGAGGACGATGATGGTGATCGCGTGGCTCATTGTGGAACCTTTAGCGATTCGAGTTATCTACAGATTATTTGTTATCGATGGGACCAGTTAGCAATGTTCATTTGAACAAACCGGGCCTATAGCCACTCCATGAAGTATCGAATAGAAGATGAGATTAGGTTTAATGTGTGCTCGTCAATTCGAGTTAACTTCAATGGCTAATTGGAAGATAACTCGGTACAATGTCAAGAAATAGTAACGCTTCCTCTTGTAAGATTTTCATCGCCACTGTGAGTGTTGAATTTATTTTACTGTACAGTTTTCTGTTTGTAAGCGTAGATTTGTTTCGAAGCAGCGTTGACAGTAGTAAAATAATCTGTTATTTGGATGTATGTATATTCAATAACATTCGTTTTCACTTAATTTCAAAATATCATGTATGGTTTTTACTAGTAAAGTAAGAAATTATTAATATATTTTATTAGTAAAAGTAAAGATTGATAATAAATTTTCTACGAAAACTTTACGAATTCTTAAAAATTTTGGTAACGTTGTTTAAAAAATTTCGTATTGTAATTTTTGTAACTATTTTCATTCTATAAAGGAAGATATAAGGAATTATTAAAGAAACATGTTTAATATTTATATGTACGTGGGCTCCATAGGATAAGCGTATTACAATCAGCTTATACGAGTGAAATGATATTTCTTGTTAATTTATTTAATAAAAGAAATATATAATTAGATTTTTATAAATCATTGCGATTATTTCATGATAACACTCTATTTATTATATCTTCAGTGGTTACTGGTTTATTATTCTCAGAGTCTCTGGCATATTCATTCTTCAAAATTCTAACTTTATTCTTAACACAGAAGTTAAAGTTACTCTCAATTGATGTTGTGCCATTTTTCTTGCGTCTGCAGTACAACTTTTTCTTTGAAACTCACAAAACAAATCTCTCTTTAAAAAAAGAATTAAACTTTACGTGTATTTTCAATGTTCTATTTATTTTCAAATTACACGTAACATACACAAACACAACTGTCCAAAATTAGCAGGAAAAGTAACAAAAATTAATTTACTGCGCCAAATTAATTTTAACTGAATGATTTTTTATCGTAATATTTATTAAAATGTTACCACTATTTACTTCCTTCTTTTTCTTCGAGA